TGGGAGGAAACCGCTGGAGTGAGGTTTCCTTGCAGATTCCTCTGGTGCCATCTCTGAGCTGATAAGAGTCTAGAGTTGTCTCCAGTAAAGATGAATTTTTATCCTGCCTTTAGGCAGATAAGGGGGAGGGCGGAGGGAGTTTTCCTGTGTTTGCTGCTTCTTAATTGCCTTCAACTCTAATTTGATGTCAAAGAGGATACTTTGGGGGACATATCCTTTGACAGCTACTATAGGTTGAGTTCTTACTATATTCCAGGCCTAGTACTCATTGCTTTACAAACAAACTCTCATTTAATTCAGAAAACCCTGTGGAGTAAGTACTTTGACACCTATTTTACAGTTTAGGAAACCGAAGCACAGTTTTTCCTAAAATTATTGCTAGTGGGTGGTGGAGACAGGATTTGAAGCTAGGTTTTGGAATTTTTCTGGCTTTTGTCTTTTTTTTTGAGACGGAGTCTAGCTCTGTTGCCAGGCTGGGGTGTAGTGGCACGATCTTGGCTTACAGCAAGCTCTGCATTCCGGGTTCAAGCGATTCGCCTGCCTCAGCCTCCTGAGTAGCTGGGACTGCGGGTGCGCGCCACCACGCCTGGCTAATTTTTTGTATTTTAGTAGAGACGGGGTTTCACTATGTTGGCCAGGATGGTCTTGCTCTCCTGACCTTGTGATCCGCCTGCCTCGACCTCCCAAAGTGTTGGGATTACAGGCATGAACCACCGTGCCCAGCCTGGTTTTTGTCTTTTTTTGGCCATGGGATCTGTGTTTAAATGGAAATACATGGAAACAAACGTTGAGCTGCTCTAATTAAAGTTGAGAAAAGTGGTGATGAGGGCAAGGAGATTATAAATGGCTTGGTGTCACCCCCCACGTCCCCCATGAAGCAAAATTTGAAAATCACTGAATTGTTCTGCTTTCTATGACTCCATGTTTATAGACAAAGATTGGATTTCCTTTTCTGCCTTGCCTTCTGGGAGGCTCAGGGCTTCTTTGTTATACTCAGTCATGCTAATTCTCTTCAAACCTGAGTTCTGGACGAGGAGCAGTGGCTTGTGCCTGTAATCCCAGCACTTTGGGAGGCCCAGGTGGGCAGATCACTTAAGATCAGGAGTTCAAGACCAGCTGGCCAACATGGCAAAACCCTGTCTCTACTGAAAATACAAAAATTAGCTGGGCATGGTGGCACATGCCCGTAATCCCAGCTACTCGTCAGGCTGAGGCACGAGAATCGCTCGAACTTGGGAGGTGGAGGTTGCAGCTGCATTCCAGCCTGGGCAACAGAGTGAGACTCTGTTGCAACAAAACAAAACAAAAGAAAAACCAAAACAAATTGGAGTTCTGGAATAATTTTCTCTTTCCCATCTCCCCATTACAAAGCCCTTCATTTACTCTGTGACCACCCTTTAATCAGGAACACTGGGCTGGCATGGTAGCTCACGCCTGTAATCCCAGCACTTTGGGAGGCTGAGGTGGGAGGATTGCTTGAGCCCAGGAGTTCAAGACCAGCCTGGGCGACATCATGAGACTCCTGTCTCTAAAAAAAAAAAAGAAAAAAGAAAAAATGTTAGCTGGGTGTGGTGGTGTGCACCTGTAGTTCCAGCTACTTGGGAGGCTGAGGCAGGAGGATTGGTTGAGCCTAGGAGTTGGAGGTTACAGTGAGCCATGATCATTCCACTGCTCTCCAGCCTGGGCAGCAGAGTGAGAACTTGTCTAAAAAAAAAAAAAAAAAATCAAGAACCCTGAACCAGCACTCATAATTTACAGTTGCCGCAGGCTGTGGTTTAATGGGTTTAATGATTAAGACTAACACAAGTGACTGACTCAGAGGCAGAGGGCTGGCCAGTGTTTGTGTTGAGGAGAGTGCTTTCAGCATCCCTGGATATGCCAGTCTGCCTGTGCCCCAGCAGAGGGCCTGTGCCCCTGCAGCTCTCTCCCTCTACGGGGCATGCCTGAGGTTGGCTTTGCAGGGGGGTGAGCATTTTAGGTCGGACACCAGCCTGGGCAACATGGTGAAACCCCGTCTCTACCAAAAATACAAAAATTATCTGGGCATGGTGGCGGGCACCTGTAATTCCAGCTACTTGGGAGGCTGAGGCAGAAGAATTGCTTGAACCTGGGAGGTGGAGGTTGTAGTGAGCCGAGATTGTGCCACTGTACTCCAGCCTGGGTGACAGGGCAAGACAGTCTCAAAAAAAAAAAAAAAAGGAAAAAAGAAAATAGATTTCTGTTGTTTAAGCCACCCAGTCTATGGGATTCAGTTACGGCAGCCTGAGCTGACTAGGACATCCAGACAGGAGGAGATTAAGGCAGTTAGTTCTGTTCTTCTGAAGTCCAGCAGGCGGGGGCACTGTAAGGCAAGAAACTAGCAGGAGTGAGGTGGTTGTTGGTTTAGTGGGTCTTTGGAGGCACTGAAAAATCAAAGTGTTTAGGTTACTGCTCAGCGATAGGAATGCAAGGAATGCAAGGAATCCCTTCACAATGGTAGATCCTGACCTTTTTTTTTTTTTTTTTTTTTCAGAAGGAGTCTCTGTCACACAGTGTGGAGTGCAGTGCCATGATCTCTGCAACCTCCACCTCCCGGGCTTAAGCGATTGTCCTGCCTCAGCCACCAAGCAGCTGGGACGACAGGCGTGTGCCACCACACCCAGATAATTTTTGTATTTTTAGTAGAGACGGGGTTTCACCATGTTGGCCAGGATGGTCTCTCCTGACCTCAGGTGATCTGCCTGCCCCAGCCTCCCAAAGTGCTGGGATTACAGGCGTGAGCCACTGTGCTCAGCCGAGTCTGTTTTTATAGCGCGGAGGTTACATATTTCAAGTTCAGACAGACAAATGGCAGATAAAGTAGGTCCCTGAATCCCGTGGCGCATGGTCAGGCTGGTACAGGGGCCTCCCAGGAGCACTTTCCAGGAACCAGGCCTGGCTGTAGTGGAGAGAATGCAGACGCTAGCCGAGCGTGATGGCAGGCGCCTGTAGTCCCCGCTACTCAGGAGGCTGAGGCAGGAGAATGGCGTGAACCAGGGAGGCGGAGCTTGCAGTGAGCCAAGATCGCGCCACCGCACTCCAGCCTGGGCGACAGAGCAAGACTCCGTCTCAAAAAAAAAAAAAAAAAAAAAGAGAAAGCAGGCTCTGCAGACAGGTCGCTCTGGGTGAGAATCGCATCTCTCCCAGGGCATTGCCTTATGTCTTCTGGCAAGGGCCTTCACTTACCTGAGTCCGGGTGTCTTCATCTGCAGAGTGGGGAGGAAGACACCTTATTGTCAAGGGTGCTGACATTGCTGGCCCCCTGTGAATGCAGTGATCATTACTGACATCCATTCCCAACTTTCTGGGGCACCTAACTATTTTCAGGGCCCTGGATAAAGGTGAGCAGAATCAGACAGGGTCCCACCCTCACATGGTTTGGAGTCAGTATAGTCTCAAGTGTGGCGAGGCTGCCCTGCCACAGCTCCTGCGGTCTGAGGACTCCAGTGACACACACACTGCAGGACCAGGGATGGAGGGTCCCTTCACGTCCTAAGGTCAGCCCTCTCTCCCAGATTTTGTGTTTAGTGCTGGTTTGCCATTGACAGGTTTGCATTCTGCAAACCCAAACCAGGACCCGTGGTCTGGTGCGTGTGAGAGAGTGTGGCCCCCACAGGAACAGGGGTTGCTGTCTTGGCTCCCTGTTTCAGGAGAGGTCTGAAGTCAGAGCTGCTGCAGCAGCCTTTTGCTTCTCCATGGTCTCCAGGCTTGGGTGATGGCCTCATTATCAGCCTTCAGGGATGATCTGACTCTCTAGACACTCCTGTGGTGTGCAGGAGCCACGCGGCTCTGATGCAGGTCCTGCCGGTACGATGCCAGTGAGGCCCAGGTGTATTGATGAATGCTCAAGAGGACAGACGAGGGCTTCCCGCCAAATGGACATCTGTGGGTAGAGTGGAGACCGTGGAGGAAGGAGGCAGGTGGCGCCTTCTCTGCTTGCTATGGGCTGGACCTGGGAGAAGGCTAGGGGTATTGCAGAGGGAGAAGGGGTTTCTCATTCATTCATTCAACAAACACTTCCTGAGCACCCTTCTCTAGGCCCTGTGCACTAGGGATTCAGAGTAAACAAGACAGACAAGAATCTGTGCCCTCATGGAGCTGACATTATCATTAGGAGGGACACATGAGACAAATCAGTAAAATATAAAATATGTTCAATGGTGATAAATGGTAAAGAGGATAAAGAAGGCAAGGCAGGCAGAGGAAGACTGTTGAAGTTGAGATTTTAGATGGGGTGGCTAAAGGGGACCTCATTTAGAAGAAGCACGATGAAAGACATGAAGAAAGTGAAGGAGTGGGCCGTGGGTCTTGGAGGGAAGGATACTCCTGGCTGGGGAAGAGCAGTTGGAAAGGCATGGAGATGAGGCATGCCTGGAGAGGGTAGGAGGCCAGCACAACTGGGGCTGTGTGAGCGAGTGGGAGAGTGCAGGAAGGAGGTCGGAGGCTAAGAGGGAGCTGGACTTATAGGACCACCTGGAATGCAGGAGAGACTCCACTGGGAGCCCAGGGAGGGCTCTGTGCAGAGTCACAAGTTCTGCCTTAGACTGGAAGAAAATCATTTTGGCTCCTCTGTTGAGAACAGGGTGTAGAGACAAGGCCAGTAGGAGAGACCAGTTGGGAGGAGGCCACTGCCGTCATCAGATGAGGGGGAGGCACTGAGCCTTTGTTCTCCACTGTGCCCCAGCCCATGGCATGCTTCCTGGCACAGAGCAGGCACTTAATAAATATTTGGTGAATGATGTGTGCGTTAGTGATGTCCAAGTACCAGTTTTCAGACTCATGCTAGGTAGGCTATATGGGGAAGGTACAGAAAAACAGATCCCAGGCATTGCAGCTGGGGATCCTGATCCAACAGGCTTCTGATGGGAAAGTTGAATCTGGAGTTTTAGCACAGCCTGCAGGTAATTTTGGACAGGCAGGGACTGGCTTTCTCTGTCAGTTAGGGATGATTTTGGTTGCAAGTAACAGAGACTGACCAACAATGGTTTAAATAAAGAGGGATTTATTTTATTTACAATAATTATGGAGAAGGATGGTGGCTGGCATTGGCTTGGTGAAATAATGATAGGGTCAATGACTCTGTGATTCTCTTGGCCTTTTTCTCATGGTAGCAAGGTGGCTGCTGTGGCTCCAGGCATCACACCCTCAATCAAAGCAGAAAGAAGAAGGCCAGGGAGATGTTAGCCATGCCTGTGTCTTTTATCAGAAAAGCATAAGCTTTCCCAGAAGCCCCTGTAGACTTCCTCTTCAATTTCATTGGCCACACCAAATCACATAGCCATCCTATGCTGCAAAGGAGACTGGAACAGTGAGAATCTGGGTTTACAGCCTCCACAGTTGGAGTGGCTGGAGATATGGAGTTGGGATGACCCCTGAAGAGTGAACCAAGGTCTTCTGCACGGCTGCCCTGGAGGGCGTGGTGCTTGAGGTCCCTTCTACTTCTGGGGCTTCACGGAAAGACTTGTTGCCTCCATGGAGCACCTCTGGGGACCACTGGGTAAAGCCCCAGGCATTCGCTTGGGGACCCCTCATCTATCTGAGACCCTCTGTCTTGCTTCTCTTCACATGTCTGAACAACACATGGACCCGAGGGCTGCTTCTTTGGGGATGTGGTGATCTTTATTTTAGGGATTGTGCATCTTCAGCGTAACCCTCACCTGACATACATTAAACAGCATAACCACATTCTCAGCACGCCAGTCACATTCAGGAGCCTCTTTGAGCTTGACTTTATATGCACACAGGCGGAATATCTGCATTTACAGCCCTGTGCTGGCCACACACAGGAAAAGCACGACTTTAGTCACCCTCAAACCACCCAGTTACGAGTAAGACCAGGACAATCCCTTTCCTCCGGCAGTCCCACGTTTGCTTCCAGGAATCAGAGAGCATGCCAGTGGCAGCTCTTTGAGGCAGTTTTGGGGGAAGTGAAAGGAGATGCTATTCCAGCACTGCTCTGTCACCTTAGATGATGGGTTTAGGAGCCAGAGGCAGGGACTTCAGGGGAAAAGAACAGGCCTGGTTTATTCTCTAATTCTTTAAAAATGGGATAGGAGCAAAAGGTTAAAATAAGTGGGTCTCACATAAGAAACGCCTTCTGAAGAAGAAAAATGGGTGAATTCATTGGAGTTGGCCCAGTTAGGGGTTGGGTCTCAGGTGACAGAGGCGGGGGATTCAGACTCAAAGGGGCCAGTCCATAAAGGCGGCAGTGGGGTCTTCAAACCACTGTTTCTATTCCAGAAGCCTATTGGAAATCATTGTATATTTGCTTTCCATAAGACTGTAGGAAAAAGTAAAAAAAAAAATTCTTTTCTTTTTGGCTAGATTTGCATCATAACAGTGTGGTCACACTGGTAAGAAATGCAGATTGGCAATCACATACATCTCTGATTAAAACAACACTCACATAACCAACACAATTTGCTAGGCCAAAGTCTTCATGGAGAATTCCTGGGGGTGGGAGTCTGGGGTGGGGTGGATAATGAAGAAAACCTGGGGTTGCAGAGGTGGGGTGGGAATCCCTGGGGCATCAGTCCACGGGAGGTGGGGGCCAGCGATGGCTTCAGGCGTGATATTTCTAATACATACCAGCCCTGGGCACTCACGCCCTGCTGCTCACAGCATGGTCCTCACACCAGCAGCCTCCACCTCACCTGGGAGCTTGTTAGAAATGCAGGATCTCAGCCCCCACCCCAGATCTACTGAGTTAGAAGCTGTATTTTAACAAGATCCCCAGTGATTTGTATGCACAATCAAGTTTGTGAGGCACTGCTGCAGACTTCTGGGCGCAGGAATGTGGCAGCCCTGGCTAGGTGTGGTTAGAAGGCCTGGATGGGGCGGGGGTGGGGTGGCGGTGGGCGCTGTGCGGAGGGGATGATGAAAGCATGGGTGAGGGGAGAAGACCCAAAACAGCTGTCTTTGTTAGTGTCCTCCCACCTGGTCAGGATGGCAGCAACAAGGCCACCTGTGGTCTGCCCTGCCCGTCCTCCCCTCAGTGCTTTGGAGGCGGGTGTCCTTGAAGCTAAGCTCTGCTGGCTGCAGGTAAAATCACAGGTCGGGGAGTTCTCTGAGACCTAGGAGCTGGGTGCGCGGAGAAGCGGGGCCCTGGGGAGCCTTGGAGATTCCTGGTGGGAAGGCCTGGGCAGAACAGAAGGCTTGTCAAGCCAGAGGGCTGCCTCTTCCTCCTCAATTCTGCCAGAGAAACCCCCTGTGCTGGGCTCTGAACCCCCTGCAGGGAGGGATGCAAGTTTTCCCTCGTGGAGCAGAAGGTCTGGGTGCTTGGAAGGAAAAGCCTAGGAGCTTAGGGGCCCCAGCCTCCCAGGGAGAGCCAGGCCCTCTGGGGTGACACATTTCTACAGAAGCAGGTGGGAACATCACAGACGTCCCAAGGCCTGGGGCCCAGGGCTGCCAGGTGCAGAAGGGCTGGAGGAGGGTGTCCAGGCCAGGGTGGGTGGTGGCCTGAGCCTGGCAGCTGGCCCTACAGCGCTCTCTCTTCGCTGGTCAGTGTGGCAATTCTCCGCAGGTTTTCCCTGACTTTAATAAACTCCGGGGCGTGATCCTCTTCCTTCTCCGGTGGTTTTTCCAGCTGAAGAAGGGAGAAGCAGAGGGGTGAAGTGGATGGAGCTAGGGGGATTGCTACTCTGAAAACCTACGGAGTTTGGACCAAGGGCCCACTCAGTGGGGAAACAGAACCAACCCGAGGATGAGTTTTGCTACTAGCCTGGTAGCTGTGGCGCAGAGCATGAGACTGAGTTCTCCTTGTGAAGCCTGGTTCAAATCACTCACCCGCTCTGGGCCTCAGGTTCCCCATCTCTAAAATGGGAATGCCACCTGGTACGCAAGACAGCTGTAAGAATGAAATCAGAACCAGCGTGCAGCACACTGGGCCAGTGAGGAAGCTGAGGTTCAGAGACAGGAAACCACTCACCCTAAGGACCTAGCAAAGTGAATGGCAGAGGGAGGACTCAGGCCAGGCGTGGACTTTTAGTCCAGTGCTCTGTCTGCTGATCCTCTTCCCTCTTACTGGCTGTGGTCACAGCAGAGCTCTTCCCTGGAGGACAGCCCTGGAGGATGCGTGATCCTGGCTGGGTGCCCATTACCCACCTGGTTCAGCCTCTGCTGCCGTCTCAACAGCTCCTGCTCAAAGGGGCACTGCAGCCGCTTGGCTTCCAGCTCCTCCTTCTTTTTCTTGATGAGCTGGTTCCGCCGGCGGTGCTCCAGGACGCGCTGCAGCTCTGGCTTGCTGTCCACACCAAGGCCCCTGGGGTGGGGAAGGGGGAGCTGTCAGGAGACCATCACCTTCCCGCTTCCCCCAACCTCAGGGCTGCTTCCTGCGGTGACACCAACCCCCAATATTATCTTGTGCAATCCTCCCTGTAGCCTTGGAGGTGGACCCATTACTGTCCCATTTTACCGAGACAGAAACTGAGGCTGCTAGGGCTGAAGATACACTGAGGCTGCTAGGGCTGAAGATACCAGTCCAGGTCACAGCTACAGATGGGCCAGATGAGGATTTGAACCCAGGCCTGTCTGACTGCAGAGACCAAGTTTTACGTTATTTCTGGTTATTTTCTTAGGATACTTTTCTAAAGGTAGAATTGCCGGGTCAGGCTCTTTGAAAAGATTTGAGGTATATATATCTATTTGTGCCTGAGAAAGGTTATCCAGTGTATCCTCCTGTGAACAGTGTACAAGAGCATCTATTTCTCCCCACCATCACCAGCCAATCTTTTTATATTTGAGAATCTGGTAGGCAAGAAGTAATATCTGTTTTTCATTTGTTTCTTTATTAGTCACATGGAACAACATTTGATATGTTTACCAGCCATTTGCATTTCTTCTTTTGTGAATTAACTGTATTATCACTATTATTTTTACAGACAAGGACTTTCTCTGTTGCCTAGACTGGAGTGCAGTGGTGCAATCATAGCCCACTGCAGCCTTGAACTCCTGGGATCAAGTGATCCTCCTGCCTCGCCCTCCCAAAGTTTTGGGATTACAGGTGTGAGCCACCACGTCTGGCTGTACTGTATTACTTTTTATTCATCTTTTCCTTGTGGATTTTAAGAGATCTGAATATATTAATTTTTTTCTGTATACGTGAGTTTTAAAAATAAAATTTGTTTATATTACAAATACTTTCTCTGATTTGTCTTTAAGCTTTTGTTTTTGATTGTCGTGATGTTTTTTGATATTAAAGGGATTAATCTAAAAGCCACTCAGAGAAAATGCTCATATTATAATACTAATTGAAAACAAAAACAAAAGCGACTCAGTGTACAAAATGATAACTGCTAGGATATTAGTCACATAGCTGAAAACAAGAACAGAAACACAATCGGCTCTAATACCAGAATCAGCCAGCAGAGGGAGCTCTGAAAGCAACGCTGGGCTGATGCTATTACTGGTGAGCAGGAGTATTTCCCAGTCCTCCCAGAGGACGCTCAGCCTTCCCCTTCTCCAATTCACATCCCATCAATTGCCCCATCCCACCCCTGCCTCCTCCCAGATGCCCCTCTGGCTCGTCTCTGTGATTGCACACCACGGCCTGCAACGAAAGAGCCAGCCACCATCCTGGGCCTCTGCAACACTCCTGCCCCCTTCGGTATTGTGAGCTCCCCCATCCCCCCATCTCACCAGACGGGCCCATCACACCCTGTGCCCCTGCTGTAGACCCTTCCTTAGTCCATCCTTCTGCCCTGGCCTGCACCACACAATTGATGCCCCAGGCACAGTGAGTGACTCCTGTTTCCTGTTCATTCGCATATGAGGTTCCCTCTGCCATCCAACACCCATCTCCAGGCCTGGCTGACTCCAGTCCCCCTTCAGGTCATAGATGAGGCAGCAGCGCTCCTGTGAAGTCATTTTAGACCCCTCTCGGGTTCCTCCTCTGGGGTGTCAGGCCTATTTACACCCTCATCAATGCACCCATCCTGCTGCCTGGCTATACACCCGTCTCTGTCTGTGAGGACGGGAACTGGGTCCCATTCATTCTTGTATCCCCAGGTCTGGGCTCAGTGCCCAGCACATAGTAGGCACTCAGTAAGTGTATCTGGAGTGTGGGCATGAAGCGGGTGGCTGGGCAAGAGAACAGGGTTTTTTGGGTTCATCTGGTTCCCAGGGGCCCACTGGGGATGGGGTCTTTACAGATTTTGCTGGTGATCATGAGGGGCACCCTCAACCTTCCTCAGTCTCCAGCAGCCCCAGGATGGTAGCCAGCTCTGCTTTCCTCCAGGGGTACCTTCCCCATCCCCCACAGGCCCTGCTGCTTGATGGACCCAGGCAGCAGGGCTTCATCCCTACCTTCTGTGGTTCATGAGCAGCTCCCGGTGGAGCTCCTGGTGACTCCGAGAGGCCTTCACGGGGTTCAGCAGCTTCTTGGGCTTGATGAGCTCTGGATTCCACTCTCTGTATTCTGGCCGGGCCATCAGGCCCCCGATGTCCGCCCGCTCCCTCTGGATCTCCGAGTACATGGCGGCTGTGGAGATGGGCAGGGGAGTAGCTCAGAGCTGAGCCAATAATCTCACCCTGCCCCATGGGGCACAGTTGAAGGGCAAGGTTTTCATATCAGATAGACCTTGGCCACCTGCTACTGCGCATACCTGGGCAAGCTACCTGACTTTCTGAGCCTTAGTTTCTTCACTTATAAAGTGGAAATCATAATGGAACGCATGCACAGGGCTGTGAGAATTGGAGATGATGTTTGCGACGTCTCTGGAGTGTAGAAGTAAAGTGATAATGGGTCACAAAATATGGGTTGACACATGCATACTTTTTGGCTTGACTTTGCAAACAACGGTTTTCTCCCACTATAAAAGGAATTATGTTTGAGTTTCTGTTTTTCAATGAGCTCATAACAGAAAATGAAAATATATTTAAAAAGAGTAATATGTACTTGTTAAAAACAATTTGGATAAATGCAGTGATAAAAAGAAAGTATTACCCTTTATTATCTAACTCTATTCACAGTTCCAAATTCTGTTGTGGAACTGTTCAGCTTTTCATTGTCTTCACATCAAAGAGGAGAGTATGAAATTCAGAGACTGCTGTGTCCCTAATAGCAAAGGGATAGTTGTCAAATGTTTGGCTACTCAATGGCCCTACTTCTACCACAGCAGTTTGAAATCTGTCAATTTACTTAAAAATTAGACACAAGGCCGGGCGCGGTGGCTCAAGCCTGTAATCCCAGCACTTTGGGAGGCCGAGACGGGCGGATCACGAGGTCAGGAGATCGAGACCATCCTGGCTAACACGGTGAAACCCCGTCTCTACTAAAATACAAAAAAAATTAGCCGGGCGAGGTGGCGGGCGCCTGTACTCCCAGCTACTCGGGAGGCTGAGGCAGGAGAATGGCGTGAACCTGGGAGGCGGAGCTTGCAGTGAGCTGAGATCCGGCCACTGCACTCCAGCCTGGGCAACAGAGCCAGACTCCGTCTCAAAAAAAAAAAAAAAAAAAAAAATTAGACACAAGGGCTCCCTCTTCTACAAACTGGCTCCTTATCCTTGAAATGCCCAAAAGCAAGTACAACAGAGAGAGAGAGAGAGAGAGAGAGAGACAGAGAGAGACTGACTTAAAAACACCTCAAAGGTATAGACACTGCCTGGCCATTAGCTGCTTATAGGAATTTCAATGAAAATTTAGACTTTAGCTCTGCTCTCTTCATGAGTCTAGCTTTGCAGAAGTTGAGCTCCTATTATTTGCCAGGCTCTGACAGTTGGCAGTGTCTGCACATTTGTTGGTAATTGCCAATACAACTTTTGAAGTTTTCTTTGGTCTTGGGGAACCAGTGCCCTGTGGCACGTGGTTTTCATGTGGCAACTGAGGGAGTGTGTCCCCACCTCAAATACCAGGCTTCAGCCCCCGCTTGAGGGCCACCATGTTGCCTGTGGACAGACTTTCATTTCCTCCCCCACACTGGGAAGGGGATGAGAACCATTCTCTGCCCGAATACAGTTTCATGGATGAACAGAGATGTGTGAAAACCTGGAAGTGGCAAACAGCTTGTTGGGGTCAGAAAATACAGAGGAGGAGGTTTGACAGGGTGCACATTGCAAGGTGACATATCGGGAATCTATGCATCAAACCGGAGACTCTACTTTGCAATGGTGGCCACCAGACCCGTGTTTGGCATTTCTATGATGATCCATCACAGACTGCTGTTAGGAGGAGCAAGTAAGACCACATATGTAAAGGTGCTGTGTAATCTGGAAAAAGTGTTAATTATTATAAGGCATTTTGGATGTAGCCAGGTGAAATGTCAGAGCATAGACATGTTAATTTTTTTCTCGAATTCATATTCTCAGAACCATTTCTAAAATGAGAATTCTTATTAACTTCCCTTTTTTTCCCTCATCTTTTTTGTAAGGCTGTTTGCTTTCAGGTTACATCCTTCCTAATTTTTTGGTCCTTAAAAGGTGATCATAATAGTATTTAGAGTTACTTTAAAATGGGCATTTGACAAAATACAAAGTTGGCTGTGTCAGCTCCCCTTTCTGTTTTTAGTGTGGATATTTTCTTGTCTGTGGGATCAAGCTCTCTGGGTGCCAATGCATTAGAACACCTGGATTCAGATTGGAGCTTTGATGTCTTCTCTCTTTTGCTGACTATTCCTATTGTCAAGTGTCACCCATCCTTTGACTGAGTAATTCTCAGCTACGCTCTTTCCTTCCCGTGACCTCAGCTCTCTTCCTGTTCAGCTTATGCCACACTTTAATAACTACTTTGGCTCCCTGGCTATTCACCTGTTCTTAGTCCCTCTGTGCCCCACAAATCTTCCAGAGCTGCTTGCTTTTCATCAGCTACACCATCCTTAAAAAAACTCACCGTATGTTGCCAAAGTGATAAGGTTGGAAATAGAATAAGTTGGATAACTTTAGGAAAGGAGATGGCAGCCTTAATATTTGCATAGATAAAGCCATATAACCACAATTCTCGCATGGATGAACAGAAACGCATTTGGAGCTGAGAGAGTTCAACAATGTGGCCAGATACAAAATAAGTACACAAAATCAAGAGCTCCTGCGTAATGGCAATGACCACTGAGAAAGTGCATAATGATAAAAATAGTCATGCATTCCACAAATGTTCGTGTTCCTGTGATTTTCCTGGCACTGCGGTAGACACTGGACACACAGAAGAGAACTAAGCAAGTGAGGTCCCGGCACTCACAGAACCCACACTCTGCTAGGGAGGCCAGCAGTCAGCACATACGCAAGCCAATGAAAACGAAAGACCACAGATGGCTCCAGGCTCCCATACAGACTAAGGAGGGACCCACTGTCAGCCAGGTATGGCGAGGGCCTCTCTGAGGAGGCAACGTTAAGATCTGACAGTTGAGAATGAGGAAGGAGGCCATTTGGGGCCTGGGGAACAGCATGTGTGACTCATGTACCTTGAACAAGCTGGGTCTGTTCAGGGAACAAAAAGACATAGTGTGCTGGGAGTGCTGTGAGCTGACTGACTGGGAGAGCGTCTGGAGTGAGGGTGGACGGGTGGGTTCAAGTCAGGGAAAGGCGCGCCTGATTCAGTTTTAAAAAGGTCATTCTCGCTGCTGTGTGGGGAAACTGTCAGAGGCCTTGGGATGTTTTATGACTTTGGTTTCCTTCACTTCCAGTGGGTGGTCTCTGTCTCTTTCTCCCATTAAATTCCAGGGGAAAAAAATCTGTGATTGGCCTGGCTGAGACCTTCACCCCATACATAAGTCGCTGGCCAGCCAGTGGGTTGGCTGCCCCAGGGCCAGTCGGACTCAGTCGCACAGGGTTGCTTTGGAAGAGGGGCCCTGTTTGGTTTGATCTTCTGTTGTTGCTGTCTGAAATGTCAAATGCATTTTGAACAAGTGGCCCTCCTTTTTTATTTTGCACTGGGCCCTGTCAATTACAAAGCCAGTCCTGCACCCCAGGTTCAATCTGTGGTCAGCCCTGGCTCAATGATTTCCTCCAGATGAAGGTGTTTCCCTGAGGCCAGGCTGGTGTGGTGGGTGAGGCAGGAACCCTGAAGGATGTGGCTGGTGCCTTAGCTCAGGGCTGCAGGGGAAAAACCATTGCCTTTGCCGCTCAGGGAGCTGAACCTCAGCAAACAACCCCTGTGAGATCCATGTATACATCTACGAGGGGTGGGATGAGGAGGGCTTCTGGGGACCCCCAGGACTTAGAAAGTTGAACCAGCCTTCCTACCTTTTAATTTATTTAACCGGGGTCTCTGGGCAGTAGAACCTCACACAGGTCCTGTTATAAAAGAGACTACTCAATGAAGCACAGGTGCCAGGCCAAGAAAATCCAGGCTGTCTTGGGTGGTCAGCTGGGCCTCCTGAGGCAGAGGACTGGGGTGGTTCCCAAGGCTGCTGAGCGTCCCGAGAGATCCAAGACTCTGGGGTCCATCTGGGGAGTGGCCATGGAGGGGCTAAGAGGGGAAGTGGGCATTAGACAGGTCCTCTCTGGAAAGAAAAGGGTGAACAGCCAGGAGAAGAGCTAGCAGGGAGAGGGAGGAGCAGGCCAATCATGAAGGAGAAAGGTAAGTGGCTTGTCTGGATTCTTCATGGCTGTTAAAGAAATGCAGGAGGAAGCAGAAGGATAAGGAGGCTGAAGTCATTCAGACCTGGATTTGAATGTCAGCTCTGTCTGTGCCTTCCTACCCTCTGGAGCTGGAGCCTGGAAACTACAGCCTTTGGACCAAATCCCACAGCCCTGGGACACACCACGCCCACTTATTGTCTATGGCTGTTTCCCACTGAACAGCAGAGTTGAGATGGGACAGCTGCTTTTGATCTGGTGTTTCCTCATCTGCAAAATGAGCATTATGTTAGAATCTTTCTCCATGAAGTTGTGGTATCGTAAACGAGGTGATACTTGCAAAGTGCTTGGCAAATGCCTAGTATAGAGTTGAGCACTTGGCGCTGGCTACCAGGGCTGCCACATACAACAGGCCGGTTGTGTACCTCACAACAGCAAGTCCTCAACTCCTATAGATTAAACTGTGAATGGTGCCCCTGGAATGGCAGTGTGACCACCCTGTTAGCTGCTATTAACAATCACTATTAATAAATCCCATTCCTAGTCCCAGATGGAGACTTCTCATCCTCAGAAACTGCACTGGTTAAATCAGTGGATCTTAACCTTGGCTACATATTGGCCTCACCACAGGAAGTTTCAAAAATTCCAATGCTGGAGTCCCACCACAGGGATTCTGATTTAATTGGCTTTGGGGGTGGCTTGACCTTGGGGATTTTTAAAAGCTTCCTAGGTGGTTCCTAGAGTCAGCCAACTTTGCAAACCATGGAGTTAACCCAAAACACAAACTTATTTGCTTCGGCCCTGAAGGATCTCAGCTGACTGTAGTGGGCCTGGTTATTGTGAGCAAATCTGATTAAGGTCACAGTTCTTAGCAGCTGTGTGACCTTGGGATGTTCTCTAACCTCTGGGATGCTCCTCTGTAGAATTGTGATGCTGTGAAGATTGGATGAGCTAAAGAGTTGGGCATGAGGTGGGGGCCACCAGTAGGCGACAGCTACTAAGTGTCTTGCATGACTATAGGACGGGCAAATAATTCTCAATATGCAGACTATGGGACTGATGTTGTTTTTCATGGGGTGGGGATAATAAGAGGTCCGAGGAAAGATTGGGAGCCCCTTGCTTGATTCCTCCCTGGTTTTGTTGGTGACTCAAGAGGTCCCAGAGCTCCTCGCCAGAGGCTCCACAGGACGTTGGCCCCACACCAGGCAAGGCTCAGTGGAGATCTCTGCTGCTCCCAGGGAGAGGGCACAGGGCCACTGGGGCATCCATGGCTAATGCAGGGTGGCAGATTTGAAACCAAACACTGGTACCCCCACCCACAGGAGAGAGTAAGGAGAGACAGAAGGAGAGCTGCACTGATAGAGTCTCAGGGCCCAGTTCATCTTGACAATAGCCATACCCCATTCTGTCTAAGACCTCAGTGACCCTTCCACTTGCCTCTCCACTGTTCTGGTAGTCCTATTTCTGTCTTTGATGGCATCAGTTGTAACAAATGACACATGAGCCAGTAAAGCAATGGTTAAAGCAGATGTTTTAGTGGAGACAGACTGGGTTTGATTCATGGTGGCAACCCTTCCCAGCTGTGTTACCTTGGACAAGTAGCTTAACCTCTCTGAGCCTCTATACAGCAAGGATAATAGCCTATTCACGGAGCAGTTTGGAGGATGAAGTGATACAATGGCACAATGTGTTTAGCCCAGTGCCTGGCAGAGTGACGCTCACCGAAGACAAACCATGGTACTTCTGTCCTGAAGAAATCCTGTGGTCACCTCTCGAATTTGATCTGGATCTCTAAATCACCCTCGGAGGCAGCCAGTGGTACCCCGTTTTATAGATGAGAAAACTAAGGCTCAGAGAGGCCAAGCTACTTGTCTCAAGATACACAGAGAGTAAGCAGCAAAGCCAGGACCTTGGATGCCAAATTCAGTGCTCTTTCTATCTCTCCACTGTCTTCAAGGTGCGAAATGTCTTTTAGTTGACAAAGCAGGGTTATGTCCCTTTTCTCTCTCTAGATAGTCAAGAAACCCCAATGAAGAGGCTGTGTGAGCCCATTTTATAGGTGAGAACATGGAGGCCTGCTAACTTGAGGACTAATAGCCTATGTGAAATACAGACTCTCCCTGGGGAGACCCAGCCTGGCCCCAGCAGCTTTGGGCTTAAGCTAGAATCCACAGGCCTGTCTGGCCTCAGGCTGGTCTCGTTTAGGAGAGGACCAGCTGTTGGCCTTCCCTCCTCTGCCCCCACTTCCTTATTACTGTTCAAGCTGCTGAGTTCAGAACACATTCAGGACCCTATTGGTTCAGCATTTAATGGGATGGCAGGCAGAGGAGAAGAGAGGCTTTCAAAATAACGACTGGCAAACGAAAAAGAGGCATTCAGTAAAAGTGACAAGCATGGTCACTGGATTTCCTGACCCTTCTGGCTTTTTTCCTCTCCATGGGGAAAGTGCCTAATTGTATTTCACTGGCCAGCAGCCAAAGAACAGTGTATCTGGGAGCCACCTCCAGATCTCTCAGCAGCCTCTGGTCGATGCTCGGAAGCCCCCAGCAGAGCTGCTTGTCCATTTGGATGCAATGACTCAAGGCTGACTTCCTGAACATTTGCCTTGGGTCCGTTGTAATTTCCTACCTTGGGAGAATGTTGGGTGGGCATTTAGGATTTTGAATCAATTAAATAGCAGAGTCCAGGGCTAGACATGGAGGGTCCTTAGCAAGGTTAGTGGACAGCATTGTGCAGTTGATCTGGAACAAGCATCAGCAGATCTGGAATCCCTGCTGGCTCATTAGTGGCATGATGCCAGTCACTTTACCTGGCAGATGCCTCTGCAGGGAAAATTCCAGCAGGTACTTACCACCAACAGAACTAAGAGGGCCGCTTAGGATCTAAGTCACCCAGAGATGCAGGTGTGGGGGCTGCCTTGAAGCTCGAAGTGACTTGAGTTTGGTAGCAGTTTCAAAAAGTGACACACCCAATCCTACAGCTCTTGATTTCTGGCCCAATCTCAGACTTGCCTTGTATTGCAAAGTCCTAAAGCCAAATTCACCAGAAAGGCAGGCCCTTCACACGTTAACCTGCATGCACTATGTGCCATGCACTGTGCTAAGCACCTAGCAGTCGTATCCCATGAAATATGAAATTCTTACGACAGACTGAGAAGGTGGGTACTGTCATTATTCTCTTTTTACAGTCAAGGAAACTGAAGTTCAGGGAAGTCATCTGATTTCTCCAAATCACACAGCCGGTGAAAGAAAGAGCTCGAATCTGAGCCCAAGTTCTGACGCTGAAACCTGTGTTCTGTCGGTTGTGCCGAGAATTAAACCCCCCTACTGTGTGATAGTTGACTTAGGTGAGGCTATATCATGCATTAATTCAGATTCACCTGAGGATGCAGCAGAAAAAGATCAACAAGAATGCAGGGTTATGCCTAGGGGCTCACTTCTTTGTCTCCTACCCTTTTCCGAAACCCAGGGTGCCGGGAGGCATCTCCCGTATCATTTTACAGATGCTGGGACATAGCCCAGGTACCTAAACTCAAAGCACTCAGGTCCACTGACAGCCCACTTCAGTGCACAGGATCTGCCCTCCTTCCCTTCCACCTCCTCCCGAACAGCACCGCGCTCGACAGCAGGGGAAACAGAACAGAGATGGTCTTACTTCTCAGGTCGAGTCCTTGGGAAGGGAAGTCAGGAGCGTGTTGCTGGGTTCCTCACTCCACTGGGAAGTCCCAGACTAGCAAGGAGGGCTGCCTCTAGAGGGCGGTTCTTAAACCCCTGGGAACGGGAGGCTGCTGAAATGTGCCAACAAGTGAGACAGCCTTTGCATTCCTGTTTATTCTGGTATCAATAAAAAGGAACTGTTACTATAGTAACAGATATTTCACTTGGTACACGGCCACTTCCACGATGCGGAACATCATGTCCAAGCCACACGCTTGAGAGGCACAAATAAATACCCATTTTGTCAGATTGATGAGGAATAAGAAACACGCCAAGCTTTGTTCTGAGCAAGGCAGCTCACGTAAAGGAATTTCCCTTGTTTTTTATGGGAGGGTCAGGCAAGAGTGGATTCCAGCACTTCCCCATGGGAGGGGAAGCCAAGCTTCCTGCAGCAGTGGTGTGGATTCTTCAGGAGAAAATGGCTCTGGGGGAAAGGGGTGGGGTGTAAAGGGAGGGGAAACTGCTCAGCATTGGGTCAGTTGTTGATTATCCACGAATGGGTCAGAAACTCCGTACACAACATTTTCCTGATACCCCGAACGTCATCGGCACTTCACAGAGGAGCCAACAGGAGAGTGTAGGAGAGGGGAAGCACCGTGTCTGGGTCTCAGCAGGCTCGAATGTTGGCGCTGGCTCCAGCACCAGCCCCTTCAGCAGCCACTCAGTGTCTCTGTGTCTTGGTTTCTGTGTTTGTCAAACGTGGAGCATACCAGGGTGGTTGGGAGATGACATGGATGAGATGACATTAGTGAAGCACACAGTCAAAGCTCAGCATATGGGACTTTTCTCCAACAGAGACCTGGACTCTATGTGAACTAAGGCCAGAGCCCAGCATGGTGCATTTTGCCTGGCAGAATATGTGTTCCATAAGTAGTGGCTCAAAGAATGAACGTGTAATGAACGTAAAATATAAAAGTAGGCCAGGAATGGTGGCTTACACTTGTAATTCCAGCACTTTGGGAGGCCGAGGCAGGCAGATCACTTGAGGTCAGAAGTTTGAGACCAGCCTAGCCAACATGGTAAAACCCTGTCTCTGCTAAAAATACAAAAATTAGCCAGGCGTGGTGGCACACACCTGTAATCCCAGCTACCCGGGAGGCTGAGGCAGGACAATCGCTTGAACTTGGGAGGCGGAGTTTGCAGTGAGCCAAGATTGGGCCACTGCCCTCCAACCTGGGTGATGGAGCAAGACTGTCTCAAAAAAACCCAAAAAACAAACAAACAAACAAAAAAACCAAGAAAAGTAAAAAATGTATGTAGATCCTTAAGGCTAGCCTTGGGTGCTTATGGATAATGGAGGCATTCTCCTAATTTCAGAATCAACTTTCATTCGAAAAGCTAGAAGTGTTTTCTATTGTATAGTGTCATCCTAGTCCCCCATTGAGGAAGCTGGGGTCTACTAGTTGACCGGGCCTCCACCCCAACTTTACTTTCTCATGGAGTCTTGGTTGGCTGGAAGGCAATGAGGCCTAGGACATGCATCACAGGCGAATGGAGGCATTAACAATGCAATCTTGTGTCTTCTTAGGCCTATATTATTTGTGCATTTAACAAACATTTATTTAGTTCCTACTGTGTTCCTGGCACTGTTCTAAGTGCTGGGGGTACCATGTGAATGACACAGGTAATATCCCTGCCATCAGGGAACCTACCTGCAAGGGGGATACCCAGTAAAGAAGGAGACACTCAGGATGACGTCAGGCAGTGAGGAATGCCGTGATGAACGCAAGGCTGGGTGAGGTGAAAGGGGGTGGTGTTTTAGGGTAGCTGAATCACAAGGAGTCAGTTGTGTGAAGTCTGTACACACGGGAGAGTCTTTGTCAGGTGGGAAGAGCCAGTGGAAAGGCCTAGGCTGGGTGGATCCTGGTATGATGTAAAGGCAGGCTGGGCGCCATCTTGGGAGCGAGGGAGGTGAGAGATGGGTGGAGTGGGAGGGACAGAGCAGGCACGTCCAGGGAGTCTTGGCCACGCTGACCATTCTCGAACCACTTAAACTTAGAGGGTCTCAAATTCTTGGGTAAAAACAACTTTCTGGAAACAATGTGTGGTCCTTTTTGTTTCTTCTTCCCCAGTTCTGCATTTCTTGAGGCACTTTGAATGGTAGCCCCCTCAGCCTCCCACCCTGCTCTGCCTTAACTTCCGCAAACTCTCATGGTAGAAGAGGACAGCTAGATTCTTGTTCAAACCACTCTTTGCTGACCCTGGTTCCTTGCACACATTGTCCTGCTCTGCAAAGAAGTATTTTGAGTATTTCCTAGGGTCTTTGGTGGCTCAGATGAACCAATCCCAGTGGCTTCTAACAGCTGGAGAGTAAGAAGGATCCTGGAGCCGGGGAACTTCTGACAGCTCCTGCTCATCCCTGGAGAAGACAGAAGCCTGTCACCCGGTACACTCCAGAGGAACACGCACCTGACAGCCAAGGAGAACTGGGCAGTAGTCCTTGGATGTTGGGCATCATTTTCCCTGGGCAGTTGGGAGTCACTGTGCTTCTCCCACAAAAACTCTTTTCACAGCCCAACTTGTACACAAAACCATCAGACTGCTAGCCCCAGGGCAGGGGCCTACTATCTTCCTGTCCCAGTACTGAGGGTCTCGATAACTATTGTTAACCTGAAGACACCGAAAACCTTGACAGTGCTGAGCTTGTTACAGCACCATCTTGCTGTGTGTCCATGTGCAGGTGCAACTGTATGTGAGATCAGCGGCCAACAACCACCCTTTCCCAGGCCACATTCCATAAGTAAGAGGCTATGCTACACCCCGAGATGAGATGCAGCCAATAAACCTGTCTATGTATTGACCTGAAAAAGATGTCTTCTACATATTAAAAAAAAAATCATATATAGTAGGATCTCTTTTCTTTTCAAGATAAAAAAAAGTTGGTATATACATAAAGAACCAGTGTGGAGGCAAATACACTAATCTGTTAGCAGAGGTCAACTCTAGATCAACGTATCTCAAATATTATTACTAGATGTCATTTGAAATGAGTGCTAAAAATGCTCTTGCCTAAATCCTCAGAACCTCTGAGGGAGGAACCTAGGAATCTGGATTTTTTTTTTTTTTTTTTTTGAGACAGAGTGTTACTCTGTTACCCAGGGTGAGTGCAATGGTGCCATAATGGCTCACTGCAGCCTTGACCTCCTGGGATCAAGCGAGCCTCCCACCTCAGTCTCCCAAGTAGCTGAGACTACAGACACATGCCACCACACCCGGCTAATTTTTTATTTTTCGTAGAAATGAGATCTCACTATGTTGCCCAGGCTGGTCTTGAACTCTTGGCCTCAAGTGTTCCTCCTGCTTCAGCTTCCCAAAGTGCTAGGATCACAGGCATGAAGCCACCATGAAATCTAGATTTTTAACATACCCCTCTGGGGATTCATTTATATTAAAGAGTTTGAGGAGCATTGTTCTACGTCGTAACATTACAGGCCCTTCTCCTTTGTCACTACATTTCTGTAATGTTTGTGGCGTTAAAAAAAAAAAAAGGCTCAAGCTTATATTACTTTTGTTATCAGAAAAAGACTCTAAGAATTAAAAATGCAAGAAAGAGCAACCTTTCCCAAACAACTGTAGTTAGTTAGGAATCACATCTGGCTCAGTTATGTCCATCTGAATACGGGAAAACAGAGGCCCTCTGAACAAACAAGCCTTTGAGGCGTTTACTCCAGGTAATTGCGTAATTCAAGCCCCAGCCGCTGTCTCCTGCATCCTTCTGTGTGGTTTTCCCTGGAGGTCTTCCTATTCTTCCAAAAGGAAGGACTCAGGGAAGCCAGGGGCCTGGGGATCTGCATACTTGCTCAGCCCCCTGGTGTGCTGGGGCATGAAGGGGAAGCCCAGGGGCTGGGCACACCCCTCCCTGTCTTCCCTCCCATCCCTTTTAACTCTGATTTCTTGGGAACCAGAGGAACCCAAAGGAAGGGGGACAGGGAAGACCAGAGGAGGCAGTCCTGACAGGGAGGTGGAGAATTTTCCTGCATCTATAATGGGCTGTTCTGCAGTATGCAGAAAATAACCTCCCCAAACAGCTTTTCTTTCATTTCGGCCCCTTTCTCCAAGCCCATGGGCGCCTAGAAGAGCTTATCTGGGCCCACAAACATCAAACAAGAAGTTTCCATGGCAACTTAAAACTTCCTCCTCAACCCTGTATTCAGTCTAAATCTCCAAGGCCCCTTTTCAAGGCCTCAATGGGGTTTCTGAGCAGCCACCCACAAAACAGCCCTAGGATTAAACCATGCCCCCTGCCTCTCAAACATGCTCTGCTGAAAGGACTCGGGGTGGGGGGAGAAGAAGCTGTACTGGCAGAAAGAACCTGTCATGGGATCCTTGGAGAGATTATAAAAGCAATGAGAGTCGCTTTTACAACAAGTTTGAACCGGGAAGAATTTACCCAGTCGAGGGATTTCAAGCGTGAAAGCAGGAAAGTGTGAGGGGGTGGGGATGAACTTAGAGTCTTGTTTCTGAAAGCTGGCTCTCCACCCAGCTGCAATTAGACATGGTTAATTTGGTCTCTTAGCTGCAGAAGGACCCTGGGGTACCTCCATCCCCAGTACATTTTAATTCCCGTGTAATCAGACAAGAAGCATAGTGAGTGAATCTATGGATGGTGAGAGGATGTGAGAGGGAGCATGTGTGCGTGTGTGTCTGTTTCTGTGTGTGTGTGTGTGTGTGTGTGTGTGTGTGTGTGTGTGTGTGTGCGCGCGCGCGCGCGCATGCGCAGGAGAACCTGGGCAGACCATAGCTGTCAAACCAAGCAAACTTCATGATTCCTGGCAGCATAGTTGCTAGATGTACCAAATAAAAATGCCACACATCCAAGTTAAATTTGAATTTCTAATGAGCACCAAATAACTTTTTAGTATATTCCATGAAATAGCTGGAACATGCTTACACTAAAACATGATTTGTTGTTTCTCTGAGATTCAGATGGAACTGAGTGCCCTATATTTTATCTGGCAGCCCTACCTGGCAGAGGCAGGGGTGGAGGCTGCATCCGCCCCTTTGGCTGCAGAGGAGAGGTATAGCTGCTGATGCGCACAGGCACCTGGGGAAGTGCCTTTTTGTCCATAGTGCAGAGAGATGATTTCCTCCCTTCCAGGAACATGACCTGAGCTCCAGGTAGGATGCAGGTAATGCCCCTCAGGTGGACTTGAACTACTGGACTGTATTGCCTTCCAGGCATGGCCAAACAGGAATTATTCCACAGAGGTGACCCTTCTAACCCTGTGATTAAGAGCATGGACTCTAGTGCCAACCCAGACCCCAGTGCATTGCTGGACAACTAGGTGACCTTCAACTCTCTGTTTCCTCCTCCCTAAAATAGGGCAGACATGTTTTTGAGGAACCAAGGAGTTATATTCTGGAGAGCCCTTCACACTGTGGCTGCCACAGAGTCAGAGTTAGGGCTCTGTAAGTGGCAACTATTATTTTGATAAGTCACTTAAGAGCATTCAAGTTCTTTTTTTTTTGTTGTTGTTTTTTGTTTTTTGAGACAGAGTCTTGCTCTGTTGCCAGGCTGGAGGGCAGTGGTGCAATCTCGGCTCACTGCAACCTCTGCCTCCCGGGTTCAAGCGATTCTCCCATCTCAGCCTCCCGAATAACTGGCATTACAGGCACCTGCCATCACGCCTAGCTAATTTTTGTATTTTTGGTAGAGACAAGGTTTCACTATGTTGGCCAGGCTGGTCTCGAACACCTGACTTCAAGTGATCCACCTGCCTTGGCCTCCCAAAACGTTGGGATTACAGGCGTGAGCCACTGTGCCCGGCTGAGCATTCAAGATTTTCATCCAACTGAAAAAAGTGGAATTAAAGACTAGAGTCAGAACAATCTCTACAGTGTAAAACACACACACACTATGCAGAGCAAGGATTGGAAGGAGACATTTCCAAATGTTACCTGTGGCCGCCTGTGGTTACTGGGATTATGTG